TCCTTATCTAAGGACAAAGGAGGCCTGGATGACCAGGACATTGGTGATCCACTCCTCCATTCTGAGAATTTCTGCAAGACAAGCCATAGCAAGGAGAGGAGTACTCAGGAGAGCCCTCTCTGCTCTGAAGATCCCTTGCTCAAAACACAGCATTGCAGGTCAGTTTATTCCCCTGCCTTGGAAAAAACACCAACAGTGAAAGAACTGAGAGAGAGTCACATCCAGGCATGTTCACTGAGTAATCAAACCCAGGTATGGAAGTACTCTCAGAAAAGCACACCAGGGGGTAATACCAGTAGTTTGCCACAGTCTGTGTTCTATGGCCAAACTGTTCGCCGCCTGGCTTTGTACAGAAAGAAATCTTACTCTCTTGTTCCTGTTGTGGAGAAGTCCCCTGTACGTCCTTCCCTTCAGCGCCGAGCATCTGAACCTGGAGAGACTTGTCTGGGGTTGGATAGGGAGACATCAAAGAGTCTGGAGCATATCCACAGGCAGGCTGTATCAAAACAAGACACTTATTTTAACCCCCATACGCATGGACCTAAGGCATCTGACCTGGAGAAAGATGATAAGTATGGTAAACCCCAGTCTGGCTTATCACCGACTGCCACAAACGTTGTGAGGAACTACTTCTTTTGGCAAGGAGGTGAAGATACCCAGAGTAATCTGAAGAAGAGTCAGGAAGTGGCACTTGCAATTGTCCATGGCAAGCGGGAGTGGATAAGGAGGTGCAGTGACACACAGCTAGAAGACTTTGAAAAAATGCTTTTTTCAGAGGAGTCTTATGTCTAAGTTCCTGGGTTCTAATGTAGTACTTTCCAAATTCAGTCCAAGTATACAGTCATGTGAAACAATAAGAACACCCTATGGAAATTGTTGGCTTTTTTGACATATTTAGACAAGCAAACATTTGATCATCTTTGAAACATTGCTTATTAATAAAGTTGATATACTTGAAAACCACAAAGAAAAATAGCCTTTTCAATCATTTATTAGACAGAAAAATCAATAGACTTGATATTCTTTTGTGGGAAAAATTAGTACACCCTTGGTCTCAGAAGCTAGTATTGTCCCCTTTAGCAGAAATAACTTCTTGTAGGTGTTTTGCATAATTGTCCTCCTGTCTCTGACATTGCTGGAATGTTTGACCTCTCTTCAATGCAATATTTTTTTCAGTTATAAGATGGTTGAGGGTTTTCTTTCAAATCCCCCACAACATTTTAATGGGATTCAAATCCGGACTTTAATCAGGCCATTCCATAACAATCCATTCTTCTTTTTGAGCCATTGCTTGGTGGATTTACTTGCATTCTTAGGATCATTATCCTGCTGAAAAGTCCACTTTCGTTTCAACGTCCATGATTTGGGCAGATAGTCTCATGTTATCGTCAAGCACTCTTTGATATGATGCAGAATTCATAGTTGAATCAATGACTGCAAGCTGTCAACTCCCTGAGGCAGTGAAGCAACCCAAACAATAACATTTCCACCACTGTGCTTCACAGGTGGTATGAGGTGCTTCTCCTGAAATGCTGTCTTTGGTCAGTGTCAAACATGTCTGCTGTTACTGTGGCCAAACAACTCTATTTGATTTGTCTTTCCAGATCACATTATTCCAAAAGGCATTGTCTTTGGCTATATCCTCAATGGCAAACTGTGGTCTTGTGCTAATGTTCTTTTTAGACAGCAAAGGCTTTTTCCTGGCACGCCTCCCATGCAGGTCACGTTTGTGCCATCTCTTTCTGATGGTATAAGCATGCACGTTGACACCAACAGTTGCAAGACTTACCAACAGTTTCATGACTTACAAGCAAATCCTATGGTGAAATTTTGACACTCCCTAAGCAGGTTCTAATCACTGGTACGCAATCCTGAACACCTGACTCTAATTTTTATGGATTTGAATGTGTGATAAATGTAGGGGTGTACTTAATTTTCCATGTGACAGATCTGTTTTTTGTTCATTGAAATTATGAAAATTACTACAAAATGTCAATTTTGTATCATTTGATAGTGTATCACCTTTATTAATACTGTTTTAAGGAGGATCAAATGTTTGCTTGTCCACATATGTAAAAACAAACAAACAAAAAAAATGATTGTCCTTATTTTTTCACATGACTGTAGTTATCCCTGGTCTAAAAACCAGATTCAGTATATTTGTTCATTGGTAAATGCATTTAGTGTGTTAGATAAACAATAAGAAATATAAACAGTGCATGGTAATTTAGGCTAGATTAGGAAGACAGCCTTGAATACAGTCAGCTCCAGAATGAATGGTGCTTTTGGTAAAGATTTGTATAAAAGGTTATGAAAAATTTGGTCCTTGTGGTTAATAAGTTTAATCTCCCACTGAACATGTGAGAGAAATCTAACCTTTAATTGTATTTATTTTGAGAAAAATTTAAACCCATACCAAAAATATACATCTCAACAAAGGCACATGTCCTAATTATCAGCACCTTTAGAAATTCTTATAAAGGACTCTTACAAAATTTTTAACAGTCATCCATGACTTCCTGTTTCATTGGGTATAAACATGAGGTGACAAAGGGACCGAATTCTCTTTGACATGGGGAAAATGAGAGCATTCATAAATTAAATTAGACAACGGTCTAATTAAATGTCTTCATAAATCAGACAAAGGCTATTAAAAAAAGCTACATTCCCGATATTGCCCATATTAGAGCAATAATTAAGAAGTTTAAAACAACTTGAGATTTAATGAACCTGTCTGCAATAGATCACAAGTGTTTTTCCCTTAAGTAGAGTAAGGAAGTTAGCAAAAAATGGATTACAGTTGGAAATTTGCAGACGACAGCTGCATTTTGGAGTCACCAAGTCTCCAGATCTACAATTAGACGCCACCTCCATGCCAACAAACTGTTTGGAAGGCATGCCAGAAGAGAAACCTTTCTTTCATCTAACCACAGAATGAAGTGCCTGGAGTTTTCTGGAAGCGATTGGAACTTTGACTGTAACTTAGGTTCTAGGGTGAGATGAGACCAAAATCCTTGGAAAAAAAGCTTTTTTGCAACAAATGTTCAAGGTGGGTTTCGTGTGAAAAGAAGCTTCCCCACTTTTAGATATGATAGACAGTCTGTGATGTTGGGAGGCTGTTTTCATCCCAAGGCCCTGAGAATCTTATTAGGATAAAGGTACCAGGTGCGTGTAAATGAAAATCTGACTGCCTCTCCCAGGAAGCTTCAACTGGGTCATGGTTGGATCTTCCAGGTGAACAATGATCTGGAACATACATCTATATCCACACAAAACTGGTTCAATGACCAAAGAATCAAGCGTGTGCCCTCGCATCCCAGTCCCCTGACCTAAACCCAATTTAAAGCCTGTGTGGTCAGCTGAAGTGTAGAGTCCACATGAGGGGCCCTAGGACCCTGGATTATCTGGAGAGATTCTGTATTGAGGAGTGCATTCATATTCCTAGCTATGTATCCTCCATGGTTTATAAGATATGACTTAGTGCCATATGTTGGCAAAAAAAAGATTGCAGTTCAACAAATGCAAAATAATTCTGTTATCGTTTTGTTTTTTAACAAAGAGTGTTGTTTTTAAAAAGGGTTTTAAATGACCTTTTTAAAATCCATATTTAAAGGGTGCCAATAATTCTGGTCTGATTGTATTATTAAGGATTTTAAATATTTGATAGTGAATATGGCCTGTTGTGTATGCTTACATAACCTTTAATGAATTTAATTCTTAACATTGCTTTAAAGCTTTAACAAGGCTTAGTTAGAAGAAATTGTATATTTCTGCTACACTTAATTAGGTTTTTGTTTATTATAATATCAATCCAGGAAATGGAGTGAAGTGCAATGACTCTAGGTAATATACGTAATATCTTACCATTAACTAAATTTTCATTTAAAAGTTGTGATAAGTAAAATAAATATATAGATTGTGCACACATAGACAACAGAATAACCGATGTGGTGAACAGACCTTAACTGATCCTAAGGTTTTTTGTTTTTTTTAAAGGGAATTATTAAATCAATTAATTAATTATAATACTAGGTTTAGAAAATTTTGATTTAAAATGTTTAGAAAGTGTCAAAAAAGGGTTTATCTTTAGTCTGAATTTTGATTATATTACATAATATGCTTGCTACTGCAAAGCACAAAAAACTTGTGAACAAAAACAGTGAAGAAATATAATTAATTGTCAATAATGTGTAAGAAACTTTTTTTTCCTGGCTACAAAAATGTTGACGCCTGAGGTTCTGCTTTGGTAGGTGTAAATAATCGGTATAAATTGTATTGCTTTTTATTTGGTGTCAGTGAGAATTCTTGCTTATTTAATAAGATTAATACCGTGTATCAACTTCTTTATATGAATTTGCTACTGGATAGGCTTTCTTTCAAATATGAATAGCACATCTGGAAGCCATGTTTCTATGCTGTAGACATCGTGTATATTTTTAAGAATCTAAAGAATAATGTCTTAAGTATATTTTCTTTTCTTTTATTAAATTTATATATATATATATATATATATATATATATATATATATATATATATATATATATATAAAAAACACATTTTCCCAGTGACATTGATGCCAATTCTTTATACTCATATTACCTTATGGCAGGAGTTCTCTCTCTGTAGTCAGGGATGGAAATTTTTATTTCTGAAATTTCCATTGACAGAACACGAGGTAAAATTCAACATTATTTATAGTCCAACGTTTTTACATTTTTGGAGGTTTGGATTCCATCCATCCATTTTCTGTACCCCTGATCCTACACAGGGTAAATTGGGGAGCCTGGAGAATATCCCAGGGGACTCGGGCACATGGCGGGGAACACCCTGGATGGGGTGCCAACCCATTGCAGTGCACAATTGCACACACATTCACACGCTACGGAAAGTTTAGAGATGCAAATCAGCCTACAACACATGTCTGGGCCCGGGGAGGAGACTAGAGTACCTGTAGGAAACCCCCAAAGCATGGGGAAAACATTCAAACTCTGTGCACATAGGGCAGAGGTGGGAATCGAATCCACCAACCCTGGAGTTGTGAGGCAAATGTGCTAACCACTAAGCCATTGTGCCCACCAGGGTTTGGATTAAACCTATTTAATTCATGTGATCAGTCAAACCTGTAAGAACTCAGTAATAAATTAAATAGCTTTGAATTGTGATTCCACCACCGTAACAATATAAAAACACCACACGGCTTTGCTTCACTGCCTTTTAGGATGGTGATAATAGAGAATAGGCTAGCAGACATAAAAAAAAAAAACCTGTACCTCTATGTACACTTACCATCCACGTTTTTTAGGACCACCTGTACACATGCTTATTTATGCAGTTATATAAACAGCTAGCGGAAGCTGGATGTAGAAGTAGCACAATGCATAAAACCATACAGATACAGGTCAAGAGTTTCAGTTAATGTCCACATCAAGCATCAGAATTGGGGAAAATGGGATCTCTGGGACTATAACGGTAGTATGGTTGTTGGAAGCAGATGCCTCAAGCCTGTTCTTGGCCCCAATGTGGTCCTCTACAGTCCCAGCCCATCCACCTCAAGGTCAATGTTTTGTGCATGTCGAGATGCATGATATAAAGAGTTACCATATCATCCCTGGCAGCTTTAATAAATCTAGACATTTTCCTCTGATCTCTCTTATCAACAAGGCATTTCCACCCACAGAACTATCACGCAATGTTTTGTTTGTTTTTCACACCATTCTGTGTAAACCCTGGAGAATGCAATGTGTGACGTTCCCAGATCAGCAGTTTCTGAAATACTCAAACCAGCCTGTCTGCTACCAACATCTATACTATGATCAGAGTAACAGAGATGGCTTTTATTAATTTTCATTTTCCTGTTTGATGGGAACATTAATTGAAGCTCTTGACCTGTATTTTTTTTATTTTATTTTTTTTGCATTTTCTGCCACATGATTGGCTGATTTAGATAACTCTTGTGAATGTGCAGGTGTACTAAACGTGGACACTATGTGAATGTTTGTATTTGTTTATATAATTCAAATTGTGACTTAAGGCTCTTAATGCATTTTTGTACATGCCTGTGCTGCTGCTGTCTTAAAATATTTGTTATTGCAAAATTTGTTGTGTTGTGGTTTGTATATTTCTAAATAAGTTATCACTTCACCAATGTAGTTTTGCCTCATATCAGGAGTCTCCCAAAACCCCATCCTAAAATGAAAATGGATTTCTAATGGCAAACAACTATAACAAAGTACCATGCTAAATCGTTTTTTTTTTTTAATAATAATAATAATAATAAACCACTCCAGATGTAGTTCCATACTGTACTTCTAGATATGTTACCAACTTGGTAAGATTTTTTTTCCTTTAAAATGGATATAACTGTCCTTTAAAGGAAGCACTTCAACAAACCCTCTGAAATACTTGAGACTCTGCCAAATTCCATCTTACCTAACTAACCTGCAGCTGAACCTTTGAACCGGCCAGACGAGTGCAAACACTCAGCGTGAAGCTTTGTCAAAATATTTGTAGTGATGCAGATGTATTTTCTCGACAGGCCTTAAACCTTTTCCGCTTGAACATTTCACACCATGGAAGCAGTCTGTTTGCAGACAGAGTTGTCTTATTGAACAGTTAGGGTCGGATTTTTATAAGAGCCGTCTATCTTGTTTTCTCAAAACCCTTATCTAAAACATGACAAGGATATGACAGAATAATTAGGGGTAGTCCCAGTATCTAAAGCCACTCAAACAAAGCATAATACAAACCAATCATATAGATGTTGAGGTTGTAGGGTCTTCGCCAGGGGCTGCTCTCATATCCTGAAAACTCAGAACCTTCACTTCACTAATCAAGAAGTATTTTTAACTCAATACATTTTTCAATACTTGTATTCTAACAACTGTCAGTGAAACAATCTGCTTGGAGGATAAACACATATAGACATTTAGACCTTCATGTCTGGCAACAGAATTTCAAAACAGCTAATTTCAGCCCAAATTGCTGACTATATCTAACCACGGATGTACCACATCCCCAGTGGCACATGCAGAAATGCGAAACATACCAATTTCATTAAGTTGCATTGTAGGTTCCTTTATGCTGTAATCTCCCGTACCACTGATGTTTAGCCGATTAATGTCAGACCTGTGCTTTAAATAAAAGGTCCTCAAGATATATTTTGTCAAAGCAGTGTTCACCTGCCTGTGTTAATGTATTGTAATCTACCATAAGCTTGCCTTCAAAGCTGACATTTTCCCCTCACACTGAGTCACTTCCTCTTTCATGCAAGTGTCAGTGTGTGGTAAGTGACCTATACAGACTGTGGGAGAGGATGAACACAGTGGCCGTTCTTTACGACTTTTCATCTTCTAGTTTAAGACTTGCTTAAAAGTCAGCTGCTCCAGAGTAAGAACGCTCACATTGAAATAGTTTTGACCTTTCTGTTCTGTATTTGCATTTAAAGTGTGGGCAAATACAGTTATATGGACAGGAAAATGATAGCTATGTACTAGGCCTTTCAACCTTTAGAAAGATACATTAATAATTTGGCTTAGTTGATGTCAAAATTACTCTTATAATAACACAAACGACAAAAAAAGTTAATTTAATATTTAATTAAAACATTACTTAGATGTTTCATATATGATTAGTTCAAGGTTTTTAATCAGTACTGTTTCGGTTAATGAGGAACTAATTGTTTAATACACTAAAAGTGGCAAATCAATGTCCAAAGTATTAGCATGAGAAAATCCATTGCATACTCGGCAAGACCTCTAGCTTGAAATCTCTACATCATGGTGGCACGGTAAGTGAAAAACACATGGTTTTAAGAAAACCAAATAAACTCAACAGCAAAATCAGAAACAAGTCAACATAAACTCAAAACAGAAAGGATAGGTCATTGTTGAGCATCACATGCTCGTTGTTGATTGGACACGGCATTTGAATATCACAAAGGAACATAATTGGCAGTTATCTACTTAATCTAGCAAGAGCAGTTTAATACAAAATGTCATATGTTATTCTAGAAATAATTAGAATATCATTGTTAATGTAAGGAGTAATTATTTTGAATAACATTCACATACTCCGAATTAATGGCAATGCGAAATTTACAGCTGATCTAAAGTAGCGTCATATGAATGCTCAAATGAAGATAAAAACATCACTTGTTTAGGCTCATATTTCCCCTTACAGTAAACATGCTCCAGTTCTACATTTTCCACAGTTTTGTCTATTTGTTCTTACCGTTTGGTTTGTTCATGTGTTTTGCACTTACAGCTTACCATACTAACATTTCTCTTCTTTTTTTTTTTTGCCCATCTTAAAAATGTTTCTTTGCAGTTTGTTGTAAATTCTGTGTTAACTACTTACAATCAATATATGAAACTTTCACAGAATTTATAGCACATTTTTATGATCCATTGTTATTTTCAGAAATGTGCTGATAAATTGATAAGAACCTCCATGTAGCCGTACAGGTGAGCTGTTAAGCTACAACCCCGTACTGTAGCCATAAACCATGATTCCTAACCTCATAATGCCTTTATCAATACAATTACACAAAAGGTTTGCCTTTTTCTCATGATCAATTTACATTGGTTTATGGTAGGTAGACAGGCACGAAGTGGCTAAAGAAACTAGGCAGAGCCATCTGACTGTCTGATGTCCGCCGAGCTCTCTGGAACGCGCACGGTCATGCCATCCAGAGATTTCGTCAGGCAGATCTGACAACCCAGACGAGACCTGTAGATAAAAGAACGAATAAAGTGAGGAAATGTAATGGGCGTCTGGTCTTTTCAGTTATGACCTGCAGATTAAACAAGGGATGCTTATTACAGCAAAGTATGTGAAGCTATAATAGTTTAAAATGTCGAGGACTTTGACCCACACTCTTATAATATCCGGTCATTACAAGAAACCTGATCATAAAAATAAAAACACTGTGTACTCAAATAGGTAGTGCACACACACAATCAGGTGATAATACTGTGGCAAGTAATTAAAAAGACAATAAAGTTGAATTCACAACAGTACAAGTCAGAAAATAATTAAGCTGGAAATTGCAGATTTGCATTACATTCTACATTCGTCAGATATAAAAGCATAAACAACTGTCTCATTTATGAGTTCATAATTAAGGTGGGTCAAGGTTGAAGGTCAGTTCTTCAGAATAAGTATCAGAAAAGATTTAAACGACAGCTACTTAAACAACAGTTCGTTCCAGTCCACTAATTTGATTGGTTGATGGCACTGTTTGTGGCACTCTACTCGTCTGTGTTCGCAATATAAAATTCCACTTCCTAGTTTGAAACGGTTACTGCAGTAGAGTTAGTGACATCATCAGCAGACATCGCAAACAATACGTTTCAGTAATTTAAAATATGAAAGCTTGATAAATGAAGATGATAACGGAGCAAAATTTAACAAATGTGTCCGAAATGTGTCTGTTGTATAAAAAGAATATCATACTCGGGATTGTGCAGTTATACCGAATATTCACAGCTGTGCAGATATTCAGAATAAACCATACTCTTCCATCCATTTTCCATACTGTATATCCTACAGGGCCACAGGGAACCTGGAGACTATCCCTGGGAGCATGGTGTACAAGGTGGGGTACATCCTGGACAAGGTGCCAATCAATCGCAGGGCATAATCACATACACATTCTCAAACCCACTACGGACACTTTGGACATGCCAATCAGCCTACCATGCATGTCTTTGGACTGGGGAGGAAACCGGATTACCCGAAGATAAACCCTACTCTTGCTATATTGCTAAAATGAAGGACAAGTGGGAGCAAATTAGTACGATCAATTCTTACCCTTGATAATTCTAAACTGCATCGTTAATTGCTTCTGCAGTTTTACAATGATGAAATCCTTACTGATCACAAATTATTATAGAAAAACTTCAAAGTCAAAATGTCAACACAAAGTAACAACAACAAAATGCAGCCATGAGCAAAATCCCCAAAATAACCTGCTGGCATTAAACACTAATCCTACTGTTTTTACCTTGACCTCCTTGTAACATTACAGATCAGGGAGATTAATACTCAAAGCCTGGGAGTGTGTCCTGCAGAAC